GCCATGCTTGAGTCATGAATGAGCCTTGAGCCATGAATTAGGCTTGTGCCATTAAATGAGGCTTGAGCCATGAATGAGGCTTGAGCCATGAATGAGGCTTGAGCCATGAATGAAGCTTAAGCCATGCTTGATTCATGAATGAGCCTTGTGCCATTAAATGAGGCTTGAGCCATGAATGAGGCTTGAGCCATGAATGGGCTTGAGCCACGAATGAGGCTTGAGCCATGAATGTAACGTTATTTTAAAAAGTGTTGACTTTTTCCTCTTTATAATAACTTTATTTCTTAAGCAAGCGGGAAGGATATCATGAACGTCGAGTTGTCCCGCTTTGTTTCGCTTCGAATAATGTTTGTCAAATGTCTTAAAATACTGCAGGCATCCTAAACTTCTTACGGACCCTCATGGATACGTCATTATAAGTCTAAGGATACGTCATTATAAGTCTAAGGATGCGTCATTATAAGTCTAAGGATACGTCTTTATAAGTCTAAGGATACGTCATTATAAGTCTAAGGATACGTCATTATAAGTCTAAGGATGCGTCATTATAAGTCTAAGGATACGTCATTATAAGTCTAAGGATGCGTCATTATAAGTCTAAGGATACGTCATTATAAGTCTAAGGATGCGTCATTATAAGTCTAAGGATACGTCATTATAAGTCTAAGGATGCGTCATTATAAGTCTAAGGATACGTCATTATAAGTCTAAGGATGCGTCATTATAAGTCTAAGGATGCGTCATTATAAGTCTAAGGATACGTCATTATAAGTCTAAGGATGCGTCATTATAAGTCTAAGGATACGTCATTATAAGTCTAAGGATGCGTCATTATAAGTCTAAGGATGCGTCATTATAAGTCTAAGGATGCGTCATTATAAGTCTAAGGATGCGTCATTATAAGTCTAAGGATGCGTCATTATAAGTCTAAGGATACGTCATTATAAGTCTAAGGATGCGTCATTATAAGTCTAAGGATACGTCATTATAAGTCTAAAGGTGCGTCATTATAAGTCTAAGTGTGCGTCATTATAAGTCTAAGGATGCGTCATTATAAGTCTAAGGATGCGTCATTATAAGTCTAAGGATACGTCATTATAAGTCTAAGGGTGCGTCATTATAAGTCTAAGGATGCGTCATTATAAGTCTAAGGATGCGTCATTATAAGTCTAAGGATACGTCATTATAAGTCTAAGGATATGTCATTATAAGTCTAAGGATACGTCATTATAAGTCTAAGGATGCGTCATTATAGGTATTATTTGTTTGGTCTATCCTTAAATATACGGAAGATTGGCAACCCAGTAACTCAGATGGTTGGCGTGTGTGTGTGTTTTTGTGTGTGTGTGTGTGCTTGTGTGTGTGGGGTGGGGTGTGTGTTTGGAATAAGCGTGTTTAACAACAGTGTTCTCCCCTTGATTCCTCCTGCTAAAATATCCGGAGATCACAACGGTACTCACCTCTTCAAGCACGGATTTCAGTCGACTTTTTGATCTTTTGTCTGTCATTTCGAATAACTTGCTCTCAGAGCTGTGTAGAGAGGAGAAACAAAATATAATGCAAAAGCAAAGTATGTCTCGAGAAAGATTTTGTGAGGAAAAAAAAAAGAAGGTTAATTAGCAAATTGATGTAAGCAAACACAAAAATGTTTTTAAATTTATTGTAGCCCATTATTACCAAGCATAAAATATATATTATCTTTAATAAATTATCTGTTTGTAACAGGTAGCTCTTGTTTATTTTTTAATATTACTGATTGGGGAAATTGTGGTATTCAGAACGAAGTTCCGCACCAAAATATATCGATAACGGTAGACCGTTTCCGGTTGGTGCGCACTTCGCTGTGTGCATTTTTGACGGGGCTACTGCACTAGAATAATTTAAATCACGTGGTTCTCAGGGACGAAACCAGGCGATGGGATGGGCGGCCGCCTAACGCTGCCAATGGAGGTTGGGGGGGGGGGGAAATTTTTTTTTTATTTGGGAAAATTTTCCCCATTGAATTTATTTTTTTTT